TTTCCCCCCCCCTCCCCCCGCACTCCATCTGTCTAATTCTGCCAATCTGTTGAAACATCTGACAAATCTGTACCGTGCAGGCCCGCAAGTGGTCCACCAAGTCCCCTCCGGCTCCGTAACTTTCACCCCCCCGCCCCCACCCCCCTCCACCTCCACCGTCTCCTCCTCCTCCTCCCTCACCACCGCCGCCAACAATGATGGCAATCCCGCTCCCATAACACCACCACTACCCCCCACCTCTCCACCACCAGCCTCCCCCCCGCTCTTCGACTTTGAGACCGTCAGCGAGTACATCATCCCCAAGCAGGAACTCTGCGACCGCCTCGTGACCGTCTGCACGAACAAATACCGCATCCTGGGCTACCCGGTGTGCCTGGAGGACCGGAAGTACGAGCGCAACGAATTCATCTTCAACTTTGCCATTGTCCTCGACGAAGGCGTCGTTGAGTACAGCACTTACAAGAGCGTTATTAGGAAGGTGGCCAAACTGTTCAAGGCGCTCGAGGAGCAGAGCGGCTTCCTCAGCAATGAGGTTACGGCCGTGGGCGTGTTTGCCTTGATTGAGCAGGTGTTGGAGGATTTGAACAATTATTCCGAGTGCATGATTCCTATTAGTGGGTTTCTTTCTTTCTTTCCTTTTTCTCCTCCAGCTCTCTCTCTATCTTGCCTGTTTCAGGAGCGGGAGGATGGCTAACAGTGGGTGGGTAGATGAGAGTAATACAATCAATATCAAGCTTTTCCCAACGTATGCTCCACCGCCGCAGGTTAAGGCTTTTCATGTGCCGGTTTGTACGGTGCAGTTGGAGCGTTTGATGGACGTTAATTGGGATCTTACGATGCAGAAGGTTTTGCCGCTCTTGGATTCCTGGTTGTATAAGTTGTGGGGGTTAACAAGTGCTATGATAGATCGTCCCCTTCATCGACGGTATAAATTCTGTCAGGAGGATATCGGAACTGGCAGACGCAGATTACAACCTCACGAGGAAGTGTATCGAACATTTGCTGTATCCCTCTCCCCTGTCCGGTATTATGTGTGGGTGGCCCTAACTAATGTCTGCACACCAAAAAAAAAAAGTTACTATGGGTGCCTAATAATGGTGGACGTCTTCCAATTCAGCGCCATATATGCCTGCACCGCTGAGATCTCGATACTAGTGCAAGATCCCAGTTTGCAGGAAGAGTGTCAAGCCTACGTCTCCTACAGCAGCCCTCGCATTCCATTCCCCTTCCTCCTGCAGCTCTACACATCCCTGACCCAAGGTCTTACTCTGAAGAAATGGTGTATGGAGAACGCGACGAAGCTCAAGGGGATAGATGTCCGTCGCTTCATCTCCTTCGGGATAGTCAAAGGCTTTCTCTACCGTAGTCACAAGTACCCGGTCCCCGCGGAGGGGAAGGTGGATAGGGCGTTGCCGTTGGCAAGGTACTTGGATGGAGGCCACCATTTCGATGAGATTTGCACCGACTTGCAAGCCAGTGAGAATGACGTTATGGGGATGTTGGGGGGCCGGGGTGTGCAGATTGTTCATCGGTAGATGTGTTTTTTTTCCAATTTTCATATTTATTCCTTCATCCATCCATGCAATGCACGATATGGTGGTGTCTGGCATATTACAGCATGGTATGGCGGCTCGGTCTGTCCGTGGAATTAATGCTCCCCACCTCCATGGGGAAAAGCTACCCCGCCATCACAACGTGATATCCACCATATTTCACCTATTGAACAAACAACCCGAACGACCAAAGAGAGTAGAATAAAAAAGCCGATAGCAAAACCAACCCAACTTAATCTATCGCCCACCCCTCAGCGCAAGCACCAAATGCAACGTAGCCCCCCCTTCAAGATTGTACTCGCTAGCAGCTTTATCATCCGCCCTACAAGAATTTCCCACCCAATCAATCAGAAAGCCGCCCTTCGCATCATATCATAAGAAAAAAGAGGAGGGGAGGGGTTGACAAACATCTGCTTCCCACCGTAAATCAACCTCTGCTGAGCTGGAGGAATCCCCTCCTTCTCCTCGACCCGCTCCTTGATACGGAAGACCTTATAATCCGGTTCAATGTCCAGTTCGATTTCCTTGCCGGTGAGGGTGCGAACTCTACCTTGCCGTTAGAAAGAAGAAAGCCCTTGGATGGATGGGTGGATCAGATGGATGAATGGATCGGATGAATAGATGGACGGGTGGACTTACTTGATGAACATTGTTGGCGCGTTTTCGAAGGGGCTGTGACGGTGGTTGTGGGTTTGTGGTTGGGATTGCGGTGGTGGTGGTGGTGGGCCGAGAGTGAGGTTTGAGAGGTCTGTTAGGAGTTGGTTTATCGTTTTGAGGGTTTCTTTCTTTTTTGCTTGTTTGTTTGCTCGTCGTGGTGGGGGTTCGGGGGTGGGGTGACTAGGAGTTTGGATGAGGGCAAGGCGAGGTGAGGTGAGTGAATGAGGGAATGGAGGGGGGGAGAGTTGGTAAGGTGAGGTGAGGCGAGGCTGTTGCGA